CTCAAAAAAAAAAAGAAGTTAAAGTCATCTTCAGCTACATAGTAAGTTCATGGTCAGCCTGGACTACAGGAGACCCTGCCCCCCCACTCCCCCCCCTAAGAAAACAGAAAGGAAAACATAGAGCTAATTTATTCCAAGTCTGTCTTTCTCCCTCCCTCCCTCCCTCCTTTCCTCCCTCCTCCCTCCTTTCCTCCTTCCTCCCTCCTTCCTTCCTTCTGTGGTCCTGGGGATTGAACCCAGGGCCTCAGGGACATTTGAAAAGCGTTCTGTTCTGCTATGACCTATGCTCTCAGCCTCTTAGTTTTTTTTGGGGGGGGGCAGTCTTTTTGAGACAGGGTCTCCCTGTAGCCCCAGCTGTCCCGGATTCACTATGTGGACCAGGCTGGCCTTGAACTCACAGAGGTCCGCCAGCCTCTGCCTCCGGATTAAAGGTGTGCGCTACCACGCCCGGCCACAGCCTCTTAGTTTAAAAAAAAATACACTTATGCCGGGCCTGGTGGTGGGGTTAACTTGTGAAGCTCGTGTGAAATCAGAGAACTTGCTAGAGTCAACTCTCTCCTACGTGGGAACCAAACTCAGGTCGTCAGGCTCAACTTTGCGGCAAGTGCCTTTACCCCTGGGCCACCCCTGACCCCAAGTCTTTGACAAACAAGGACACTGAGGCACAGGGTGGGAGGTGCGGTTGTCTAGGGAATCCAAGCCAGGCTTCCCACTCCCTCCCTCCTGGGCCAACTGGAGTTGACCTCCCAGATCAGTGGCTGGGTTTGGGAAGAGGAGTTTGTAGGTCCCTGGAAGACTTGGAGGGTTGGCTGCTGGCTGCTGACCAGCTCGGGGGAACCTGTGCAGATGATTAAGGGAGGCACCCCAAGGCGGGCCACCCCAAGCCCTGGTCTCCGCAGTGCTCCATTCCTTCTGTTTATTTTTATTCTTTAAACTTCCTAGACAGAGTCAGGTGTGGCAGTGCATGCCTTTAATCCCAGCACTTGGCAGGTGGATTTCTATGAGTTCAAGGCCAACCTGGTCTACCTAGTGAGTTCCAGGTCAGCTGAGGCTCTAGGGAGACCCTGTCTCAAAAAAACAAAAAAAAAAAAAACCCTAAACTTCCTAGACAGAACCCAGTAGCTAAAATAAGTGGCTTCCCGGCTGGGTCTTCTCTGCCCCCATCTGAGTCCAGTTAGCTGACTGTACCCCTTGCCCAGTAGGGAAGGATGGCTGGGCCCACAGTAGAGAACTGCCCATCATACCTTTTATTTGCGTTGTTTTAGACAAGGGCTCCCCTAACTCTCCAGGAACTCCTGATCCTCCTGCCTCCACCTCCCAAGGGCTGGGATTACAGGTCACTACACCTAGCTTCCTATCCACATAGGTGAGCTGGCTGGGAAAGTGTGGGCCTCACCTGCTTCCCAGTTCTCCAGGCAGAGCTCTGGGAATAGCCCTAAAATACAGGTCTATGTGAAGTTTATGAATTTCGTCTCAAACTTGGGATATTTAAAGTATTATAGTGACTCTCTAGAACCCAAGAGGCAAGAATCCAGGGTGAATAAGTCAGCCAGGCTTCCAGTCTCCAGGCCTATATGGGCCAATGGCAGGAGAGCTGGCCTGAGCAGACCAGGGACCCTTCATGCCTATCAAGACGGCCAGGGAGAGGAACAAGTCTCGGCCTCAAGCTAGTTCTGACCATCTGCTGAGAGGACTTGGGCTTCAGGCGAATTTAACTTGCCACTAAGGTCTGCATCAGACTCCGGGCATGCAGACTGCCAGTCACTACGCAGCTTGGGACCAGGGCAGCCATGTCCCTCCCTAGAATGAGTCTCTTGCACAGGCCAGTAACTTGTTACCTACAGCAACTGTAAATTATAATCCATAAAACAAGGGTGTGGGGGTGAGCCTCTGGAAAAACTGGGTAGCCAGGAAGGGACTGGGCTGGCAGTGGGTTTCTAGGCAGTCGAGGAGGACAGCCAGCTGAGGAGCCCAGGGTGGGGGACTCTAGCCTGCACCTGCCCCTCCCCCTCAGGGAGGCTGTCTTCTGGGCAGACAGCAGGTAAATGCATGACAAAAGTGCCTTGATGGTCCTGTCCTGGGGGCAGAGGAGATGGCTGGGGAGGGGCCCCTCCTGGCCTCCCCTCCTTAATCAGCCTGTGGGGCTGTGTGTGGCTACCTCGTGAACCACAACTCTGCCAGTAGATCTTCAAACTGACCTTTGGCAAGTACTGAAAATCCCGCCAGGGAGCAGACCCAGGAAGGAAGCATTCAAAGTAAACTCAAAAGACGTCACAGAGAGGGCGGGCGACAAGGCCAGATGGTTCAGTGGCTCAGCCAAGCCTGATATCAAGAGTTCGAACACCAGGACCCAGACGAGGACCGATTCCAGCAAGTTGCCTTCTGACTGCCACACAGCAACGTGGCATGCATACACATGCACACAAAATTAATAAAAATTTAATAATTAAAAAAAGAGTTGAGTGATGTCGCTCATTCTGTAATCCCCGCACTCCGGTGGCTGAAGCAGGAGGACGTAGTCCTGGTCCAGCAAGTTTCCTGCTCACTGCCACACAGCAACGTGGCATGCATACACATGCACACAAAATTAATAAAAATTTAATAATTAAAAAAAAAGAGTTGAGTGATGTCGCTCATTCTGTAATCCCCGCACTCCGGTGGCTGAAGCAGGAGGACGTAGTCCTGGTGCAGCCTGGGTTACCTGAGCTCTAGGCAGGCCTAGGCTATGGAGCAAGGATGGATATGGTGCAAAGGAAGACAGCTGGCTACCAAGAGGAGGGACACCCAGGCCCCAGAAGACAGAGCCACTGACCCCAGTGAACAACCTCACGCTGGGCTAGGCCTGCAGTCAGTAGAGGTCAGCTCCCAGGTTCTGGGCTCTGCTGGTCTGGCTTTCTACACTGTGGGGCACTTTGGCCCAGAGCCTTCTGGGAGCTCTGTGATTTACCTCAGGGCCTTCATTTAGGGCAACTTGTAGGAGCAGACAGACAAGCTTCAGCCCTCACAGACAGGCACTTTTAGGGCTATTCTCTTGCAAACAGAACGGACCACTAGGTCGGCAAAGGGATCCTTTAAGATCCCCAGACCAGGCTCAGAAAAATCCTTCAGAGAAAGCTTAGGCAGGCTTCCTGCACCCCTCCTCCTAATCTCCTTCTCCCCAGCTTCTTTCCGCCAGCCAGCCCCCCAAACAAAAGCAGCCAGCAACCTGGGGTGCTGGGGGAGGGGTGGGTGCCGAGGCTGGACTCCCAAGTCCCCCAGAGGCAGGGGAGCCGCATACCTCGGTCCTGGCAGGAACCCGTCTGAGGCTCAGTCTTTGAGGGGATTGCTGTTGCCCTCGGAGGGAGATTCTTGTGAGGAGATTGGGGTTGAGGGGGTTGGGGAGCAGGAAGTTGTCCCCAGGGGAGCCATCCAGGCTCATTCAAGGGTTGAGCACTTGTTTAGGGTTAGAGCTGCCCCCTCTGGGGACTGGGATTGTCCAGCCAAGGCCATTGTCCTGCCCCCTCCCCCAGTCCCTCCCAGGCTTCTTTGAACCTGAAGTCAGATATTTTTTCCCTCCACACACCTCCCACCCTTTGGGTTCCTCCACCCAGGAACTAGGCTGGAGACCTGGGATGAGGAGGTGGGGGAGGGAGGTCTGGGCCTTCGAAGGTCTGGGGTGCTTAGGCCTTGGCCCTGAGGGGACAGGGCCTGAGTGTAGGTCTTGCAAAGGGGGTTCCCTTACCTTACCTGGGGGGATCTCCATACAGTGAGGGGACTAGGCCTGGTGTTCAGGGCTAGTGATGGAGTGGGGGGTTTCCCTGACCATGAGGGCCTGGTGTGCGGGTCTTCCAATGGGGCATTCTTGACTGGCTTGTCATTTGCCCCTGGACCTAGGTTCAAAAATCCAGGCTCTGTCATTGCAGAGCCTGGACCTCTATGGGGATGTATGAGGGTAAGAGGGACACAGGTTGGGGGTCCTGTAGCCAGGAGCCCAGAAGACCTGGGGGATAGAGTGATGGCCTTATCCTAACATACCCTGGAGACAGGGTGGAACTTGGCAGGCAGATGAGAGAGTGCCTGTTGGGCGGCTGTGAGGTAACTGGGTTTGACCAATATCTACGTAGGGATACCAAGGATTCTGGATGGATGGGTAAGCCCAACGGAGCTGCTGGTCAGTGTGCTTATGTCCACTGAGGAACTGAGGGGTCACCCAGAAATACCTGGTACATGCATGTTCAGGAGGTGTTTGAAGATCTGAGAGGATGGCTGAGGGGCAGCAGTGAAGGACGGCACCGGGGATGGGGGTGGGGAACCAGCACCAGGTTCTGAGGCATGTGGAGGCGGAAGGGATCCAGGTCTGTTCTATGCAGGGCCCAACATAGGGTGCGGATGTTGCGGGTTGGACGTGAAGGCCCCACTGAGGTTCCGGCACTCCAGACTGCCCAGACAGGATGGCCTTAGCTTTCCCTTACCAGGACTCCATCACTGCCCCCAGGCAAATATCCCCCGCCTCAGTTTCTCCCACCCCCACCTCTGGCTCCCCCACCCAACCAGGGGGCGGGGCCAGAGGTCAAGGCTAGTGGGTGGGATTGGGGAGGGAGAGAGGGAGGGAGAGAGGTGTTCTGCAGTCCCTTGGCGAGCTCTCCTTCCATCAGGCCCCCGGCTTGGGGTGCCTGCCTTCCCCATGGCCGGCCACCTGGCTTCGGACTTCCCCTTCTCGCCCCCACCTGGTGGTGGGGGCGACGGGACAGGAGGGCTGGAGCCGGGCTGGGTGGACCCTCGGACCTGGCTAAGCTTCCAAGGCTCTCCGGGTGGGCCTGGAATTGGGCCTACAGTTGGGCCAGGCTCAGAGGTGTGGGGGATCTCCCCATGTCCTCCACCTTATGAGTTCTGTGGAGGGATGGCATACTGTGGACCTCAGGTTGGAGTAGGCCTAGTGCCCCAAGTCGGCCTGGAGACCTTGCAGCCGGAGGGCCAGGCAGGAGCCGGAGTGGAGAACAAGTCGGAGGGGGCCTCCCCTGGGCCCTGCACTGCCCTTCCAGGTGCCGTGAAGCTGGAGAAGGAGAAGGTGGAGCCAACCGCAGAGGAGGTGAGTGAGACGGGCCTGGGACCACGGAGGGGATGTGGTTGGGTGGCTGGGCAGCAGTGAGGGGAAATGGTCACCTGCCACTGCCTGGGCCTGGAAACTGAGGGAGCCTGCTGGACAGCCAGCTCGCAGACCAGGAGGTGTGGGGGCTGTAGGTGCCCCTGGGAGGCCGGGCACGGTGGGAACAGGGAGCGCAAGGTGGCCTGGATTGCTCCTGCCTGGCCCTTGTCATGTAGGCAGGTCTCTCCCACTTAGGCCTGACCAGTGTCTCGGACCTTTGCTTAGTAGCTGCCCTGCTTGGCTCCAGCCATTGGGAGGTTGAGGACCTTCTCCCACCTTAACCCTTAAGAAACTTTGATCCCTGTTGGACCCAGGATCTTGGCCTTTGGGTTAAACATGGCCGGAGGGTAGAAGCACTGCTTATCCCTGGGTTATTGTTTCTAGAAGGCTTGGGTGTGTCTGGTTACTGATAGGCACTCCTGTTTGGGCTGCTGTGGAGGTGTGGAGTCGGGTTCACCTCCAGTCAAGTATAGGGCCTGTCTGTCCTTTGCCTCAGACCGGTGAGTCGTCATTATATTAAGTAGAACCCTTGAAGGGAGTTGGAGGCGCTGATTCGATAGATTTCAGCCTCACTTCCTTAAGTTGTAAACAAGAAAAAGAGACACGGGTAGGAGACATTATGTTCAGGCTATCTTTGGGCCATCTGTAAGTGTGCAGGGCTGGCTGAGAGGCCGATAGCCTCCCGCCCTGCCGGGGACTATTACAGAGGTGTGCGCCAGTCCTCAGAAGCAAGTATAAGTGATTAGCAGTCAAGAGTGAATGTGTGAGTGGACCCAGATGTGGTCCAGTGGCCCTGGTCTCTGCAGCAGGTGACTGGTGGTTAATGGCTGCATTTGGGGTCCCCTCCTTAAGTGCCTGGCTGTGTGCTTAGTTTATCTCACATCCCCTTACCTACACCCCCTAGGAAGGCATTAGTAGTTTTTAATCTCAGAGGTCTTAATGGCTTACCAAAGCAAGCACTTGAACTGTGGTTTACCTCACTCCAAATCCCCAAAATAGGATTTGGAAAAGCTGAGGGGGCAGTTGAGGCCACTTGCAGGTTTTAGTCTTTGGGTGAGAAGTTGGATGAAGATTGGTCTGTTTGAAGTTGATAAGATCCCTCCAGTGAATCACCTTCCGGAAGAATCCTGGGATTGTGTGCTCGCTGGCTCCTAGGCCGGTCCACCTTTCTGGAGCACCCAGGGCTCAGTCCTGTGGCCTCTGCTCCATCTACCCTCTCCTGCCTCTCACTCACACTCAAGCCTCACTGCCCTTCTCCATTAGGTTTAGCCTGAAATGCCTCTGCCCCCTGGGCTCAAGGTAGAACCAGCCATTTTTGTGCCTTTCACATCTTGTGTCTGCTCCCTGGGAGGTTATCTTTACCTACCATCCTTCAATCCACCAGGCCCTACCCGGCTGGTCCCCCACCGCCCACAGGCTTGAGGACGCAACCTTGGTCACACCTCCTGCTCTCCAGCTCTGATGCCAATACATCAATCAGAATCCATGTTTTCTTTTTTTCCTTAACATTTCTTTATTTGCGTCTTCGAACTTGCTACAGTGCACCTGTGGGGGGCTCAGGACAGCTTGTGGGATTGTGTAGTTTCTGGAGATTGAACTCAGGATGTGAGGCTTGGGCAATAAGCGCCTTTACCTGCTGAGCCCGGATCATGTTTTAAAATCTGAGGCAGATGATTCCATTTGGCAAGCCCGGGGCGTCTGTCTACTACCCGAGCTTATCTAACTCAATCGCCACCCCCAGCCTTCGGTCCTGCCCTGCTGTATTCCGGTGCCCTCCTTGGCTTTTTCCCATAGCACATCTGTTCTGCAGGACAGCAGGAGTGTGTGGCACAGGTTGGAAGGTCAGCTCCGTGGGTCAGGCATGTCCACTTTGCGTGGTCTGTGGTTTATAGAAGGTGTTCAGAAAAAGACTGAGCTGGGTGGTAGATGCCGGTGATCTCATCTCTTGAGAGATTGGGACCAGGTGGATCTGGAGTTGGAGGTCATCTACCTAGTGAGACTTGGTTTCGACCCCCCCCCCCAAGCTCCCCAAAAAGCCATGCCTCCAATGACACTGGCTACTGTGGATGTGCAGTGTCATAGTTTGGGGCCCTCAAAACAATCTGGGGAGAGTGCATTGAACTTAGAATCAACTAGAGAGGTTCTCTAAAATTCTCTGTTTTCAGATAGGAATTCTCTGTGTATCCCTGGCTGGCCTGGAACTCACTATGTTGAGCGGGCTGGCCTCGGATTCAGAGTGATCCTCCTGCCTCTGCTTCCTGAATGCTGAGAGTACAGCTTCCTCCCACCATACCTGGCTGCTTCTCTAGTCTGAAAACTTACACTGGGGTAATTCAGTCAATGGGGCTGTTTTGAGTACTTTGGGGCAATACCAGACAGGTGTTCTCAGGCCTGAAGTTCTGGGCCTACTGCTTGTGCCATTTGGGGGTGGGGGCGGACCTGTCCCTTGTCACCTAAGGGAACAAGTGGACACCATGTATGAACAGGCCATTTTCAGTGAGGCTGAGACACCCCCACAGAGCACTCCTGGGGACCACAAGTCACATTCTTTTGCTCCCGTATGAGGTGGAGGCTGATAGCTGGTTCCTCACAAGTCCTGTCTTCCTCACAGTCCCAGGACATGAAAGCTTTGCAGAAGGAATTGGAGCAGTTCGCCAAGCTGCTGAAGCAGAAGAGGATCACGCTGGGGTACACCCAGGCTGATGTGGGGCTCACCCTGGGCGTTCTCTTTGGTGGGTCTCCCTCAATGTTGTACACCCTGCCCCCTTCCCAGCCACCACAGCTCTTCACGTAGGACTGAGGGGAGGGCGGTTCAGTAGGACTGAGGGGAGGGCCGTTCGGGGGCTCCCCTTCCCCCACGGTGGATAGGGGTTGTGAGAAGGCAGTTGGCTTGAGCTGCCCGTGGGAAAGGTGACAGCTGGCTTGTGAGGAGATGGGCAGCGAGACCTGGGTGCTGCCTGACTTCACGGTGCCTGGTCTCCCTCAGGAAAGGTGTTCAGCCAGACGACCATCTGCCGCTTTGAGGCTCTGCAGCTCAGTTTCAAGAACATGTGTAAGCTGCGGCCCCTGCTGCAGAAGTGGGTGGAGGAAGCTGATAATGAGAACCTTCAGGAGGTGAGGGTCTGCGGGTCTACCTGGCACAGCTCCGTACCTCCTTTCCATCTGTCTTGAAGCTCTCCCTTGTCCACTTGCAGACAGACGTTATCTGTATCGTGGGTATTTTTTTGGTGCTGGGGATCGGCCCCAAGGCCTTAGCATAGGTAAGCTCACGTTCTCCCACTCACCCACCAGCACAGGGTAGTGGATCAAGCAGGACGGACTGTGATCCCTCAGTTGCGCTAAGGAGATTCTGAGCCCCAGGCCAACCCCACCCCTTCTAAGGTTCTCCTTTATTGTAACTATCCCCAGCTCTGGGGGCACATCCAGTCAACACTTTTCTTTAAGTTTGCTCACAGTCCTGACACCAAAGCCTGTCCTTGTGAACCTCTCCCCTTACCCAGATATGCAAAGCGGAGACCCTGGTGCAGGCCCGCAAGAGGAAGCGAACTAGCATCGAGAACCGCGTGCGGGGGAACCTGGAGAGCCTGTTTCTGCAGTGCCCGAAGCCCACCCTGCAGCAGATCAGCCTCATCGCCGAGCAGCTTGGGCTGGAGAAGGACGTGAGTGCGCACAGCCCTGATGCCCTGTGACCCCGTCCCCCAGCCCCCACGGCCTCAACCCTTTCCCCGCCCGCCTTCCAGCCTCCGCAGCCTATGGTCTAACCTCACTCTCCCCCTTATCCGTCCCAGGTGGTCCGAGTGTGGTTCTGTAACCGGCGCCAGAAGGGCAAACGATCCAGCGTTGACTCCTCCCAGCGAGAGGAGTATGAGGCTTCGGGCTCTCCTTTCCCAGGGGGGCCTGTATCCTTTCCTCTGCCCCCAGGGCCCCATTTTGGTACCCCAGGCTATGGGAGTCCCCACTTCACCACACTCTACTCTCCCGTCCCTTTTCCTGAGGGTGAAGCCTTTCCCCCGGTCCCTGTCACCTCTCTGGGCTCTCCGATGCATCTCAAACTGAGACGCCTGCCCCACTGTAGTTTAGGGGATTAGATTCTTTATTTGCTAAGGAAGGATTGAGAGCACATGGGGTGGGGCAGGAAGTGTTGGGGGTGGTTGGAGGGAAGATGACGTTCAACGGTGCTCTTGCTGCACATCAATCATCACTCTCTTGAATAAAGAAGTCTGGGACACAGTAGATAGCTAACTTTGTCTATGGGTTTTCTTTATTTTGTTCTTTTTGAGACAAGGTCTCCCTGCAGCCCCAGCTGGCCTGAAATTCAGAGATCGCCTGCCACTGCCTCTGCTGGGACTAAGGTGTGTGGTACCACGCTGGTGGTTTTTCTTCTTTAGTTAGTACAGACGGCCTGGGACAGAGGAACCCCGTGGTGGACAAAGGCAGCTCTTAAACCACATGGTAAGATTGACTGGGGCGGAGGTTTGAGACAGGGTCTCCCTGTAGCCCCAGTTGTAGACCAGGCTGCCCTTGAACTCTGAGAAATCTGCTTGCCTCTGCCTCCGGAGTGCTGGGATTAAAGGCATGCACCACCACACCCTGCTGATTTATTTGATTAGGATCTCTCTGTAGCCCCAGCTGGCCTGGAACTATGTAGAACAGGCTGGCCACATCTCACAGAACTGTCTGCCTCAGAGTGCTGGGATTAAAGGCATGCACCACTAGGCCAGGCATCTATTTAAAAAAAATTATATGTATGTGAATGTGTCTGGGGGAGGAGGGTATTGGATCCCTTGGAGCTAGAAGCAGTTGTGTGCTGCCTTATGTGGGTGCTGGGAACCAAACTTAGGTCTTCTTTAAGAGCAGCAGGTTTACACTAAGAAACCAAGTCTTGAGGTAGTATTTCTGCTGTGTAGTCCCCACAAACTTTGTGGTTTAAAAACATATTTTTTAGGTTGAGAATTGAGTGGAAACTGCTTGAGGGCTACATGACTGGAGGTCAGAGGATGACAACTTGTAGAAGTTGGTCTCTCCTTCCATCACGTGGATCCCAGGATTGAACTCTGGTCATCAGGCTTGGTGGCTAGAGCTTTACCTGCCTTGTGCATCTCACTGGCCCCTAGCCTGTCCTTTCTTGACACCGAGGTCCAGTTAGTTTCTCATTTAGATTTTGCATATCCTGTCCAGGAGTGACTCACCAGATACCCTCATCTTATTCCTGGCTCTGTCTTCTAGATCAACTATTTTTTTCTTAAATATATTTTTACTGCTGGGCGTGGTGGCCGCACGCCTTTAATCCCAGCACTCAGGAGGCAGAGGCAGGCGGATCTCTGCGAGTTCAAGGCCAGCCTGGTCTACATAGTGAGTTCTAGGACAGCTGGGACTACAGGGAGACCATCTCAAAAAGACCAAAAAAAAATTTTTTTTTACTGAATTTTTGTGGGTTCCCTACAATAATTCTTAATATTTAGTCCCCTCTTCCCTAATTGCACCCACCCCCATAGCTCACCCACAGGACTTCATGCATTTTGTCATATATGTTAAGGCCTATCTAGTCAAGTTTGTATACCCAGATGTCTCTCGATGTGAGTTCATCCACTGGAGCCTATTCAGTCTATCATCTCTCCCTCATCCAGCAGTGATCAGCTGCCAATAGTTCCTTGACTAAAGTTGGGACCTCCTGCTCATTTCCCCAGTTCTATGCTGGTTTTTGTCTGATTTGAGGGTCTTGTGCATCCTGTCACCACTGTTGTAAGTTCATGTGAGCAAGGTCCCAGGAGCCTGTAAGACTTCCTTGTGGTCATATATCATCCCTGGCTCTTAGAATCTTTCCATCCCTGTGTGAGTTTTTTTAATGTGGTGAAAACATGGGTTGGAAACCTAGGAAGGAGGGGGTTGGACCTGCAAGTTAGAACAGGTCAAGGTCAGGCTTTCCTAATAACTATGGGAAGGATGCGTGCTTTGGGTGTATGTTGGCTTGTTATGAGGCCCATGAATGATCATGTCTGTCCTAGCAGCATGGGTTAGTAGTTGTGCTTACATCAGGCTGCATCTGTATCCTGGTAAACTGTAAAACTGCTACGATCTTTGTGAACTTCACCAAAGCTAAGTGACCTTATTTAGTATAAGAAGATGGGTTTCACTTTAAACCTGAAAGCTTGACCTGGGTTTTGATTTTGGGGGAGATCCTACCTCATCCCATATAACTACAGGAAAACCAGCAGGTTCACAGTCTCTGGTCATCTTACCCACCTTTCACCTAAAAATCTGAGTTCATCCCTAGACCTCACCAAGTCTAGTCTCCCATGGTTTGGAAAGTAGAACATCAGACCCGTAAGAGTAAATACCCAGGCATGGGGGAACAATTCTTTATTTGGAAATAAAAAGCAAAGCTCCCAAAAGCCAGATCAGTGAGTTCATGGGCAATGGGCAGGCCTAGCCATGGTATTAGGAAGTTTGGGGTCTCTGCCCTGGGATGCCTTAGCTGAGGTCATTTAAGACCATTAATGGGGTGGGGGGTGGGGCATGTAGGTCAGTGGCAGAACACTTGCTTAGCACACTGGCTTCAGCAAAAGTAGAGACATCAAGCACTCCTTACATCTAAAGATAGGACCACAGATACTCTGGTATCCATGGCAACAAGGCTCACTGGTAATTTGATGGAGGCAGCAGCATTTTGGCAAGAAGCTGTCTTCTGTCATCTGAGTCACGAGTGCTCTGGCCCTGAGTCCACAGCAATGGCCCTTTCCCTGTGGTCATTCACTCCTGTGGAGGGAAGAAGCAATTCTTAAAATCC